GCCACCTCATCTTTCTCTTTTTCAGGCCTTTTGCAGAAATCTGCAATGATGCCAAGGTGCCAGGTAAGTCAGAGGCTAAAGAGGCCATCCTTGGGAAATCCCTGGCAGTCCAGTGGTTAGGACTCTGAGCTTCCACTACAGGGGGCACGGGTTCAATCCCTGGTCAGGGAACTGAGATCCCACAAGCCACGCGGTGTGGCTGGGGAAAAAAAAAAAAAAAAAGGCCACCCTTCTGCCTCTCAGGGACCAGAGTCTATGGACAGATCTGGGCCAAGTGGCACGCAATAGAGGGAAGTGTAGTCCCCCTGCCCAGTACCTCCCCAGGGAGCCTGAGACCTCCCTCTGCAGCGCCAGTATCCCCAGGTGCTGGAAGGACAGGAAGCCTGCAGGCACCCTTCAGAGAGGCCCTGCCACAGAGGGCCAGATCAGCTAGAGAGGATCAGCTAGAGAGGGTGTCAGATCTGCTAGAGAGGGTGAGGGACAGGCTGGAACCAGCAAGAGGGGGCATCAGGTAGGATGGCGGAAGTCACCTGGGGAGGGGAGGAGGGGTGACTGGGGTCGGCAGGGGTGAGGCAGGCGGGCGCTGCCGGAGGCTGGCTGGGCCCCCTAGATTCTGCCTGCATTTGCAGGGCAGCACCTGCACCAGACCCTGGTCTTCTGGAACCTCTCAGGGCGCAAGAACCTGGGAAACTCTGGGATTCTGATTAAGCAGGCGTGCCACAGAGCTCGAGAGGATGGAGCCCTGGGGATTGGGAGGTGCACCTCTGATTAAGAAACACCCATCTCAAAAAAAAAAAAAAAAAAAGAAACACCCATCTCGTCCCACCTCTCATGGTACCTCTGGGAAACTGAGGCCCAGGGAGGGGAAGGGACTTGCCAAGGCCATATAGTGAGTTGGCGGCCGCCTAGAACCTGGTGTCCGGACCATCCATCTGAACCACAGGCCGCCGTGGACTGCAGGCCCCAGCGTGGCTGCTTAACGGGGACAGTGATGGAATTCAGCGAGGCGGCCCCACCCCGGCCTGAGACCCAAGATGGCCCAACTCCAGATGGTCTCAGTTCCCCTGGGACACCACAGCCTGGGGTGGCACAGGCAACCAGCAGCCACCTCCTTCTAGCACGTGCTGATGCCACGGGCACGGCACTAGGCACTCATGGCAGGGAGGTGACTAGGTTTGGAAGCTGCTCCCAAGTCAAAGGCAGACACGCAGGAGGCTCCATGGAGGCCTCAGGGAGGAGAGTTTGGGACAAATGATCAGAGACTGGATGCTGTCACTTACATCCACCCCCCGCCGTGGCCATCTTTAAGGTCCACAGCCCTGGGCCAGCGCCTCTGACTTGTTGGCATGTGAAGCCTCCTACAAAAACTCCTCCTCCCTGGCTCGCAACCTGGGCTCCTCCTGCCTCCAGAGCCTCCTGTTTCCCGGGGTCTTTACACCACATCCCAGATGCCAGGCTCTGGTTTTGCTTCAGCAGCTGAATGAACAATTGCCCCCTGGGCCCAGCCTGCCCTCATGCTGTGTCATTAAGACCCTTCTGGTGGGCTGTGTCAGTCACCTGTCCACCCACTCAGTCGAGCCCAGTCCCCCACCTGTGCATCACACAGCAGCAAATCGTTTTTTGTTTTTTTTTTTTTTTTGGCCTTGAGAATTCGGGGATCTTAGTTCCCTGACCAGGGATGGAACCCGGTCCCCTGCGGTGGAAGTGCAGAGTCCTAACCACTGGACCACCAGGGAATTCCCCAATATACAGCTGCACATCTTTTTGATAAGTCTTACATATTCACATGAATTGAATTCAGCAGCAACACGACCCCTGCTAGTCCTGCTGTGTGCTGGGCTTGGTACTAGGCTCTTTCATACACATAATCTCCTTTGAGTCTCATATCACAGTTGTCCCCTTTTGGCTCAGAGAGGTTAATCAATTTACCAGGGTCACACAGCTAGTAGGTGGCAGCAGTGGAGTTTGCACTTAGGACTTCTGGCTCTAAACCAGGGTTTCTTTCCATTGGGACACTGCCTGTCTACTAGTACCTGTGACCTGTCATCATTCACAGCAAATCAGATCTGGGTCGTCACACATCAGCAGTAACAGTAGCAACAATACTGATACCAATTCTCAGTTTCTGACGATTTACTGGGGACCAGGCACATTAGCTCATGTGACTCTCCCAGCAAGCCTGCAGGATCTTACATTTTACTTGTGACAGAATGAAGGCTCGTTGGCCACTAAGTGACTCCCCTTAAGACTTAAGTCTGTGTGGCTCAGAGTCTGGGAGTTCTGGGGAGGCCGGGAGCCCGCAGGCTACATGGTCTGAGGAGGGTATAAGGAAACCTGCTGGGGAGACCCACCCGGGGGAGGAGGCTCTATCGTTAGCAAAGCAGACAGGTGAACGGGAGCAGGAAGGTGGGCGAGTGGGGCGCGGGGCTGCTTAGGGAAGGAGGCCGGAGAGATGGGCCTCAGCCGCTGGTGGGCCGGGAGCCTTGAGTGCTGAGAGGGGGACTTCAAACCAGAGAGCAAGGCCTTCTCCGTGGGGGGTCAGGAGGCCAAGACACAGTGGCCCTGGCACCTGGCGTCAGCAACCCTTTCTCCTACCAGCCAAAGACAGCAGCATCCCCAAGCGCAAGAGAAAGCGGGTCTCTGAAGGGAATTCCATCTCGTCTTCCTCCTCCTCTAACCCGGAGTCAGTGGCATCCACCAACCAGATCTCACTCGTGGTAAAGTTGCACAGACCTGGACCTGACTGCTCTTCTCTCTGGCTTTCAGCCGGCACTCGGGCAGGCTCGTCTACTCCGGAGCGTGGGTCTGGGGTGCGGGGAGATGCTGGGCACTGAGTAGAGTCTGCAGACACATCTGCCTGCCCTACCCATGAGACAGTCCACCCCCCTCTCATCAGGTGCCCACAGGCGCCCGGGGAAGGAGTTCACACCCCCACTGTGCAGATGGGCAAACTGAGGCCGAGGAGAGGGAAGGGACCTGACCCCCCACTCGGCAGGACCTCAAGCAGACTCCTGGGTTCCCGGGGCAATCAGATGCTAGACTAATCTCTGCGCTCACATCACATGCTCTGAGCCACAGCCCTGTGAGGTGTTCCCTGCAGTTACGTAGACGAGGAAAACCAGGGTCAGAGGCCGCATGACTCTGTGGCCTCATGGCTGGTCAGTGGTGGATGGAGACCCCACCTCCAAAGCTCCACCTGTTCTGCCATGTGGCTAGACTTTTCTCTCCCACCTACGAGGAAAACCTCATTAAGGGCACACACTTGAGGGTTCTTTCTGATTTCAAAATATTAGCTTTGAAATCCTGAGTCCCAATGGGGAGAATATTGGAAGACAGTTGAAAATGACTTTAGGATTTGTTTATCCTTGGACCCCTTCCTGCTAAACCCCGAAGCTCAGGCTTTGCCTCTGTTCCTGCCAGGGTGCTCACAGAGGGTCCCTAGCCCCTCGCACCACCCAGAGAGACAGGACAGCTGCTTTGGGGGCCTGAGGCCTGGAGGGGGCTGAGTTGATGGTGGTGACCAGCAGTTCTGAGCCAATCCCCAATTCCCTCCCCACATGTCTGCTCACATGGCTAGCCCCCGGGACACAGGTGGGAATAGGTCAGAAAACTCCAGCCCAGGCCCCATGGCCACTGGTGAACTGCGTGACCTTAGACAGGTCACGTCCCGTCTCTGGGCATTCCATGGCCTCAAAATAAATAGCATCTGAGGAAGCCCTTCAGAAAGCAGCGCTGAGTGTTCTGGTATGCTCTCCACGTCACCCGGAGTCCTAACCCGGGCTCTCTGTCCCCCTCTTTCTAGCAATGGCCAATGTACATGGTGGACTATGCCGGCCTGAACGTGCAGCTCCCGGGACCTCTGAATTACTAGACCTCAGTGCTGAATCAGGACCTCACTCAGAAAGACTAAAGGAAATGTAATTTATGTACAAAGTGTATATTCGGATATGTATCGATGCCTTTTAGTTTTTCCAATGATTTTTACACTATATTCCTGCCGGCAAGGCCTTTTTAAATAAGTAAAAAAAAAAAAAAAAAAAAAACCATTGCCTTTGTTCCTGTTGCGTGTTCTCTCTTGGAATTTGTGGCTGCAGCTATCACTGGAACGAGGTCAGGAAACCCAGCTCAGGTGGCCTGCCTGGGCCCTCCGTCCTTGCCAAAGCAGAGGCGGTGGCCCTGACCGCGAGGCCCTGGGTACAGACTTCACTCATTTGGCTGCTGCTGGGGTCACATGACCTCAGGATGCGGCACCACGGAAGGCAAAGTGCTAGGCTGACGCCCCTGGCCTCAGGGAGCGTTCAGTGTGGTAAGGGGCCGTCTTGCCCTTGCCCCAGTAACTCAGGTGAAGTCAGAAAAGTCAAGTATGGGGACTTCCCTGGTGGCACAGCGATTAAGGTTCCGAGCTCCCAATGCAGGGGGCCTGGGTTTGACCCCTGGTCCAGGAACTAGGTCCCACATGCCACAACTAAGAAGCCCACATGCCGCAACAAAGGAGCCAGTGAGCTGCAACTAAGGAGCCTGCCTGTTGCAACTAAGACCTGATGCAA